AGTCTTCCTCCAATCCTGATGCCACGTTTTTCTTCATAGAACCCAGCTTCTCGTATTATTTGCTCAGCATACAGGTTGAATAAGCCAGGTACTGGAGATAACTATAGTTGGATTATCATTCCTGAAATTAAAAGAGCCCAAAGAAAGCCCCTAAAAATCAAGTAAGAGAAAATCACACTGGGCCAGGGCACAAGCTGGTTTCACCAGGAACAGGGTTCACACCAGGTCATTCTTGCTGCACTTCCCACTTACAAAAGCCCCTCTTACTGGCCTTTATTCTGAAAACAGAATGAAATACATAAAACAGACCCCAAGCCTTTAGCAAAATGAGCCCTCTTTAATGACAATGCGGACTGGGCAGCTTTTTCAAATTATTGCTGTTGTCGCCTGTTTTTAGACAATACCAATCCAAAGGCCAAGATGACTCCCAAGGCTAGTGTTCCGATGCCAGTGATAATGAGAGCATCCCTCACCTGCAAAAAAAGAAAGGGGGTCGGACTTTATGTCTGGATTCTCAACATAGGCTGTATCCAATCCAAACCCATTCACTACTTATTGTTAGTTAGTGGTTCAGCCCTATTATGCAAGGTAGAAGTGCCCCATCAGATTTCCAAGGCTGTAATTTTTTTGAAGGAGCTCTGGTAGTGTAGCGGTTACTAGTTGAGCTTCTAATCTCATGGTCAGCAGTTGGAAACTACGAGCAGTTCTGTGGGAGGAAGATCAGGCTTTCTACTCCTGGAAAGATTTACAGCCTCAAAAACCCTATGCAGGGTCTCTATGAATCATAACAACTCAATGGCATATAACTACCACCAATCTTTATGGGTACAGGTTTGGCGTTGTGGATTAATGTGCTGGACTTGAACTGCAAGGTTGTTTGAACTACAAGGTTGGCAGTTCAAGCTCACCAGCTGCTCTCGGAAACCCTATACAGGATTGCTATGAGTCAGAACTGACTCAAGGGTACACAACAGCATATATACGTATATAAAAGTCCACAAGAGCCAAAACATGACCTTGAATACATCCCAATTGAATTTAGAGATCATCTGAAGAACAGATTTGATACATTAAACATTAAAGACTGGAGACCAGAAGA